ACTATGTCTGAGACTATCAGATATGTGTGGGTGTTGTCTCACCCCCCAAATGGAGAGTATTGTTCTTCTTCATGCAAGGACACAGGTCGAGAACGAAATGCAGTAACACATGTAAATCTGATAACACAAAGCATCCCCATATAAGCACTCATCCCAGCCGTTGCTGTTAATTATTTCATCACAAACACACGTCGAAGTTTGTTTATCCCACTTCTCACCATTAGGCATTTTCCTTTGGGCAAAGAAGTTATCATAGGCCCCAGGGTCAGTTATTTTTACATTTCTGAAGCCCCCCCCCCCCCCCCAACCTCCCCACTGCGTTCTCCCTGCCCCTCAGGACAGTGATGATTTCTACCTTATGTTTGGAGTTCTCATGTGGTATCAGTAGCTTTTGTCTCTTGCTATAGTAAGTGTTCCTTCAGCTGAGGGGAACCATATCTGGCTCATGGCTTCCTCACCCCCGGCCCCCTGAAGAGCTCAGCTGAGGGTCTTGTTCAGCCAGCACTTAGTGAACCGAGCAGGGATGGTTCTTGACACTGGCACTGACTCTCTCCACAGGCTCTGCAGAACATCGCTGCTATCAGCCTCGCCATCAACTACCCAAACAAGGCAACCTGCCTCTGGAATGCCGACTGCTAGCTCCTGGGAGGCCTGCATGGAACCAGCGAATCTGACCCCGGGGTTTTAGAGCAGAAATCCAAACTCATTCAGGAAAATCCCTGCAGCGCCAGCGCCTGGCTTTCCTTGAGCTCCACTTCTACTCCGATCAGATTGCCCAACAGGCTGGACACCGGCACGTACCGTAGCATGTGAGGATAAGCAAAGCAGTGCAGCACTATCCAGAGAGGGTGTTCAGAGTCGCTTTCTCCAGGGTCTGTCTCGGCTGAGCTGGAGCTGCCCGCACGTGCCCTCCGGGTGAAGACCAGTCTGCAGAGCCGCCTTTCTCGGCAGGGCCCACAGCGGCGGCCTAGGAGCGCCTCTCTTGCTTTAGCTTTCTGAGACTGGGCCATCCCACCTGAAGTCAGTGAGAGCCCGCCTGCCACCACCCGGTTCCCAGCATTTAGTACGGGGCCAGGTGCCGCGCCAGCTCCCTAGCCAAGGCCGTCCCAGAGAAATCCTCGGTGGGAACACATGAGAACATGTGCCCTGGGAACAGCACAGGCCGCCCAAGGGCGTCTGCTCATGCTCCCAGCACATCCAGGTTTTTTCAGTTGTTTTAACATATTTTTGTTTTTAGAACAGAACTGCACTGCCTCCCTGAGAGGGCGTCAGGAGAGTGGCCAGTGGCCCAGGCACTCAGGCAAACTGGTTTGTGTGAAAGCAGCAGAACTAAGGAATCTCTTTAGTTTCTGTGCCTGAAAAGACCTGAAATGTCACCAGAGGATCTTATTTTGGAAGTCACACAAACAAGCAGACCCAATGATTTTCTTTCTGCTCCGTGGCCACAGGAACTCATCACACCCCTCGGAGCTCTGCGCAGTCACTTGGCTGTCACTTGTCCAGCAATAACTACATTCGTTCCAATGAATGCTGTTTCCACTTTTCTTTTTATGGTTGTAGTCTTGCCCTGAAGTGCTGATTATTACTCTTTCCAAAGCCACACTCTGGAGCGTGAAGCCAGATTGGCATGCGGAACGTATGTAAGCCTCAGTGGGACTTGTGGGCATAAGAAATGCCTGAGGCTGCTGCCATTTAAGGGCTGGTGTCTGGGCCTGAGCACGTCCCACAGGCGGGACCAAACCCCAGTCAGGCTGGTCGTAGCCAGGGCCAAGGTGAGCAGGTCAGCACGGCCGTGGCCTCCAAAGCCCCTCTGCAGGCTCCACAGGTATCTGCACAGGAGAGGCCAAGGCTGCGGGTCCCGGGAAGGCCTTCCTGCACGGGCACTGCTGCCTTCTGGCTCTGGAGGCCCAGGCGTAGCGACCTTCTGCAGCCCAGCTCTCCATCCTCAGCCAGGCCCAGCTGCGTGTGGAGCCGTGGGGAAGGGAGAATTCAAAGGAGACAGAAACGGATGGGGCAGGTCCCGAACTTGGTGACCTGGGGCTCCTCACCCTGACCTGGTCTCCCGGGGTGTTGGGATGTGGTGAGACAGGCGCTGCCAGCTTGGTAGAAACCCTTTCTCCTCTTTTGCTCTGCCTGCATCCCCAGAGGAGGCCCCACGCTCCATACACCCAGACCCAAGTAGGAGTCACCGTGAGGAGGGAAGTCACAGGACAAAGAGGTCCCCACCGCGGGCTCAGACTCACTGACGGACTCCCTGCCTGGAAGACAGACAAGCAGATGGTGCCACTCACTGCTTAACCTCGCCTCGCCACCCCCACCCCTCCCACCTCAGACTGATGCGCGGTGGAGTGGGGACAGACGGGCAGGTGTCACACCCTCATGGCAGTTGCCACCAGCTTTACCCCCTTGCTCCCATCAGGAAAATAAGTTGTAAATAAACACTGGACTCCTCATAGCTTCTCTCTATACACCACCCTTGCTGTTCTGGTCTCTTTAATTTGCATAGAACAAGCCTAAGTTTTCCCTTCAGACACAACTGCTGCTCTCTCCTGGCAGGGCCCGCCTGGCCCAGCATCCCTGCATCCCGCCCTGCCTCTGCTTCCAGCCCGCAGGTGGCGCTGCCGAGCCAGGCCCTGCTCTCCTGGCCCTCGTGACGCTGGTGACTCCCTCGGCTCCTGGTCCCCAGTCGGTGCCAGCAGTATCTGAGAGAACAGATTTCCATGAAGACCAACACCCCTTTGACTGCCTGGAATGAGATAACACTGGCAGGAATAAAGGTGTTGTGGAAACATGTGCCTAATCTATAAAGAAATTTCTGCTCCAAATCATGTATAATGAACAAACAGACACTGTTCCTAATGAGGAGTGACTTATTTTCATCATCGTTTTTAATTTGTTTTCTTACGGGTTTACGATTTTGAATTTTTCCTATTTGGTTGAAAGAATTTTGATTATATGAGCTGTGTTCAGCCTGTAAAAAGGATGTTAAGTTGTGGTTAAATATGCAAATGAAAAGAAATATATTGTACAAATTCTATATAAAAAAGTAAAGTGTGTGGGCCTTTTTTCTCCTTCCCCTCCTTCTGCCCCTCTTGTGAACATTATCCATAGTTTCTACCAAGCCCCAACTGATGGAATTTCTGGAATCTCAAGGCCTGGGGTTGAAAGGAATCAGAAAGTTCTAGGCCAGCGGTTCTCAACCTGTGGGTCGCGACCCCTTTGGGGGTCGAAGGACCCTTTCACAGGGGTCGCCTAAGACCATCGGAAAACACATATATAATTACATATTGTTTTTGTGATTAATCACTATGCTTTCATTATGTTCAATTTGTCACAATGAAATTGGGGGTCACCACAACATGAGGAACTGTGTTAAAGGGTCGCGGCATTAGGAAGGTTGAGAACCACTGTTCTAGGCTCCGGGCTGCACCTCCCACACCTCACTAAGCCTTGACCCCAGCCCTGCAGGGGGCGCCCCTGCTTCCTGGCTGGTCCTTTCTGCACTGCTACTCAGGTTTACGCACTTGCGACTCTCCCCAGCCCATCCCCACCACCCGCCTGCCCATCCTTCATCTCTTGGAGACACAGGACACAGCCTGCAGCTGTGAGGACGGCTGGGGGCCAGTCCCTGGGCCTGCTGCCCCTCCAAGGACGGGCTCGCCTGCCTGACCTTGCTTCTCACTAACCACAGGGCTGGCATCTGCCTCCCCTTGAGCCTCATGCTTATTCCTCGTCCACATGTCTGGTTGGTCACGTACCGCTCTGCTCCCTTCTCAGCCACGTTCCCGATGCTGAGGGCCGTCTCTTGGAAATTAGAGAAGATAGACTTTTTGGTGGGGTCTGGACTTAACCAACCTCATGGCCTGGCATCATCTGCCTGCCACGTCCTCCTAAAGCTCCCAAACTGCCTTCCGAGGAATCCTGGGCAGGAGCCGGGGCCCAGCCTCAGCCCTCACCACCCCGAGGCCAGAGAGAAAGCTGGTTGAGCATGAGACTCAGCAGAACCGGGTGCTCGCAATGTTGCCGGTGGAATGAGACCCTCTCACAGAGTCACAGGAAGGCATTCCGGGGGCCCACGGGGAGGGTGAGATTGGACGGTTAGGTTTATTATAGAAGCAAAATTAAAGGACAGTCCTGGGCTCAGCCTTGTCCCGCTGTGAGTGAAGGCCAGCCTTGTTTTCACCAGCCCAGAAACAGCCGGCTTCCAGAAATCCTGTGCCGTTGCTTCAGTCCGGTCAGTCCCTGTCCCCTCCTGCTGCTGAGTCTGTGCCCAGCGGGCGCTCTGGGCCCGCCCTTGGAGTCTGTGCGGCTGCCGTCCCCGTCCCCGGGGGCTGCTAGGACCCCAGGGCTGCTATGGAGCGAGAACGTGTGAAAGAGCCGGGTGTGAATGTTACTGAGGGAGAAAAAAGGGGCCCTTACCTTTGTTAGGCTGATTTTACTCTCTGGAGCTTGGGAAGAACTAGGCGCTTTTTCAAACTAACCAATGAACTTCCCAGTCTTTCCCAGACTCTTGTTGGGTCCTTCCCCTAACCAGGTCATTTTCTAGGTCTTCCGGGGTTCTGTGTCCCTATCCAATCCAACCCTTTTCCCAGGCTAGACTGACAGGACTTCATCTTTTCACCATCTTTTCTCTTACTGCTCCGTGCCTCAAAGTGGAGGCACCTCCATCTTGGCTTCTACTGGGCATGAGCTCAGCAGAGGAATTTCTCCTGCTGGTTTATCTTTCCCTCCGTAATGACCCTTAGTGACCCTTCCTGCCCGCTTGGAGGACGCGGGCCTGAGGCAGTGGTCCCCTGGGGACCTGTGAGCAGTTTCCTAGTGACCAGGCTCGGTGTCTGCTGCAGGTCCTCGGTTGGTTATGTTTAATAATGTTGATTCCCTTTGCTCCCTTCCTTTATGAATATCTAGCTACACCAAGGCCTGTGCAACCCCCAAGTCTCCCTCTAGGACAGGGGTGGGGAACCTTTTTTCTGCCAAGGGCCATTTGAATATTTATAACATCATTCGTGGGTCATACACGATTATCAACTTAAAAATTATCCTGCATATTTGGACCCTTAATTTAACTCCTAATGTCTTGGCAGAGCCTGACCAAATGGTTTTCCGTGCGTTACACGGGCCCTCAGGCCTGATGCCCCCCACCCCTGCTGTAAGACTTAGTGGTAACATTTTCACCCGCCCCCGTCCCGCCATGGGCCTGAGCACACTGGGCCTTGCGTCTAAAAAGTTGGTCTGGAGAAGCAGGCTGTTTGCCTTGTCTAAGCCCGGTGCTTCTGGCATGACTGGCTCTCTGCTTGGCTAGAAAGCAGGACCAGAGCTGCTGAAGGTTACCCGCTGAGACTGACCCACACACAGACAATAGAAGGTGGCAGAGGTCAAAGGCAATGGAAGGGAAACAGTTCAACCAGCCCCTCACTTGAGAGGGACGAGCTGTGAGAGGTCAGCTTGGGAAATGCACAGGAAGTGGCTCAGGTCTCCTGATGCCCAGCCACAGGCTGTCCCCACTGCGTGCACGTGCCCGTTCACTCAACAGATCAGCAGTGCGAGGTGTTGGGGCCTCCTGGAAGCCACCTGGTTAACACCCAGGCTCTCCGAGTGAGGGTGGACCCTCACAATCTCAACACGGCCCAGGGTGCGGGTGGTGCCCCTGTCCAACCACCTGCCCTTTCCCACCCACGCCCCTTCTTCCCTGCTAACAGATCCAGAGTTTGCAGGTGGTGACTGGAGGTACTTTAATCCCAGGAAAGGCAGGACCTACTAGCTCCTGAGGAAAGTCATGATTGCCTTAGGTCCCCCTCGGTAATACTGTATACATGCTGGATGCTCACTTTCCCCGCCCTGCCTGCCGTCAGCCTGCCTCTGGGGCCCAGTTCTGGAAAGAGTTAAGCTGAGGCCCGAGTGAGCGAGTGAGCGAGCGAGCGAGCGAGCGAGTGAGCTAGCGGAGCAGAGGCTTTGGGGAAGGGGTGTTGCCCGGCCCCTACTGCTCCCTTTGCCTGCTGTCAGAGAGCGGGATGCTTGGCACTCCCACTGCAATCTTGCCACCAGCACAGGAAACCATGAGGATGTGGGAGCAGAGGGTCTGACTCCTTAATTGTGACATTTGAGCACTGAGTGACCCCTAGAACTGTCCACCTCCAGGTGTAGTGGTGTGTGTGTGTGTGTGTGAGAGAGAGAGAGAGAGAGAGAGAGAGAGAGAGAGAGAGAGTCGGTCTATGTTGTTGGGTGATTTCTTACAGCTGAAAGTATTTCTAACCCAAATTTATGCAACAATTTGGCTCCAAAAGGCTGAAAAAATGTCATGGTTCCCTGTCTCATTACATCACAATGAACAGTATATGGAAAAGCAAATATGTAAAAGTTTCTGAAATGAATAAAAAACCCTCTTAACAATGTCCAGTCAAGCCACTGATAGCATTAAGCTGCAGGCATTACCAAGTTGTCCTTTTTTAAAAACCAATTTATAATAACCTATGGATATGAGTTCAGAGTCCATACAGCAGCTTCACTTCAAATTATCACGTGTTACGTTTTGTTGTAACGTCTTTCTTGTCTGACTGTGTGCCTTCAGCAGACTGGCCTTTCTTCATAGACTTTACTCTCCTCCTTTCTAGGGTTCTTGCACACGCAGCTGCGCTCACGTCCGGTGAGTTCTGCCCCGATTCCCTGGGTCTTCCGTTGCAAGTGAAACCCACTCCAAACTAACTTAATTTGAAAAGGGAATTCATTGACTTCCAAAGCTGAAAATCCCTAGAGTTGCATCTGGTTCCAGATCCGGGGGCTCGTGATGCCAGGTCAGTCTATCTGTCTCTTCCTCCCCATCTCCCTCCTCCCCCTCCCCCGCTCTGCTTCCCCGTTGGGCTTTCGCGAAGGTGAAGGTGAAAAGCCAGGTGGCTGGGCCTCGGGGCCTCGTCTCCCTTTCCGCCTGACTGCTGACCCCACAGTCCCCGTGAGGCTTCGCTAAGGTGGTAACTGATGTTTCCCAGCTATGATTTAACTTCATGTTTTAAAAACGACTTGGGAGACCCATGAATTTTCAGGCTGTCATCCCAAAACTGCTGAGCAGCACAACATCCATGACAACGGGGCAGAAGAGGTGCCTGGGAGATCCCCACACACCCCTGTGAGTCACGGCAACATCTGCTCAACCACTCACTACCCTGCCGGGCGAGATGCCCCGAATCGGGGGGAGCTCACCATGCGTGAGCGGAGAGATTTCCTCCACAGGAGTGAGCGAAACATCCCCAAACGACCAACTCAAAACCAAAAAGGTTACATGGAAAAGAATGCGCACAAGTGTCTTGAGCAGATACACACAGACAAGCAGGGCCATTCGTATTAGGCAAGGCAATTCAAGAACAAAAAATTAAACTAGACCAAAAATCATTTTATGTTTGAATATTTTCTATAAACAGTATACTTGGCAATAAAAAACACTTTCCACCCTGGCCAGTGACCACAGCAGTTAGAGCGCCGGCCTGCACACCAGAGGGTTGCGGGTTCGATTCCCAATCAAGGGCACGTACCTGGGTTGCAGGTTCCATCCCAGTCCTGGTCAGGGCACATCCAGGTGGCAACCAATTGCTGTGTCTCTCTCAGATTGATGTTTCTCTCTCAGCCTCCCTCTCCCCTCCCTCCCTTCCGCTCTCTCTAAAAATCAATGGACAAAATCACCTCAGGGGAGGATTAAATAAACAAACAAACAAAAAACACTTTTCTGCAGCAAATCCCACAAGAAGTTACATAAAGCAAAAATTGTTAGAAATGTGTGGAGAATTGGGCAAACTCAATAGCAATGGGAAGTAGCATCTTTCTCAATTGCTAGCGGGTTATTTGAAAGGATGAACAGCAGAGGTGTAAGGAAGCCTTTGTGACAAAGCTCCCCTGTTTCCCAGCTGGAGGGGTGAGCAAGTAACCATCCCTTAGGGCCACACAGGTGATTGGCCCAGGCGTGAACACCTGACCCAAGTTAGGGCAACCGGGTCCTTTTGGAGATTCGGGTTTGAGGAGCCCAAGGCTGTGGTGCCCCCTGGGTCTGGGGAATTGTGT